TCCTTTAGGATTAATATACAGCTTTAACTTACCACAGTCAACTTCAAGTCTTATACCATTTCTGCAAATATAAGAACTTTACAATACTATGCTTTCTCCCTTCTTGGTTTTATGAGTGTATATGTGTTAAAACTAAATATAACTTGAAATTGGCCATTTTAACCATTTTAAATATATAAGTGGCATTAAGTTCATTCACAACATTGTATAATGCCACTACTACTTTCCTAACTTGAAACAGAAACTGTAAATATTAAAACAGTAACTCTTTATTCTCCCTAGCCCCTATTAACCACTGATTATTTTATGGCTCTATAAGTCTTCCTGTTTTAGATATTTCATGTAAGTAGAATCATGCATACCTTTTTGTTTCTGACTTTTTGTAACAAGCATAATACTTTCAGAATTCATCCATGGTGTAGGTGAAGAGTATCAGGCCTTTATTCCCTTTTAATGGCTGAATAATATTCCATCATATGATTTATATTTTATTTTGTTTACCCATTCATTTGTTGGTAGACACTTGGGTTTTTCCACCTTTTGACTATTGTGAATGATACTACTATGAACATTGGCATACAGGTATTTGTTTGAGTCATTTTTAAGTTCTTTGCTACGTAGGGATCAGAATTGCTAAGTCATTAGTAATTTTGTAACATTTTAGAGAAACCACCAAGCTGTTTTCTGCAGTGATTCACCATCTCACCTTCCTACCAACAATGTATAGATTACCTTTGGAAGAAACAAAAAAACAGAGTTTAAAAGTCAAAGTTAATTCTTTTTTTTTTTTTTAGTTAAAATATCTTTTTTTTTTTTTTTTTAAAGATTTATTTATTTGTACATACAGAACTGGGGTACAGGCCAGAGGCTCAGGGGTGGTGAGAGGCTTCACCAGAGACAGAGTGGGGAGCAGAACAGGCAGATCGACGAAGTACACTGCTGAGGGGAGCAGCGAGCGGGTCAGGAGAGGTCTGCCACGCCATGTGGTCTCCTCCGGGGCAGGCGGGAATCGAACTCATGCGGAAGTGGCTTTAGCTTCTCAGTGCAGTGCTTTAACCCGCTGCGCCACCAGGGAGGGCCTAGTTAAAATATCTTTTAAAACAAAAAACTATCCATCATAAAACATTTATTAAGGGCCCTCCCTTGTGGTGCAGCGGGTTAAAGGACTAAGAAGCTTAAGCCACTTCTGCATGAGTTCGATTCCCTCCTGCCCCGGAGGAGATCCACATGGCGAGGCAGACCTCTCCTGACCTGCCCGCTGCTCCTCTCAGCAGTGTACTTTGTCATTCTGCCTGTTCTGCTCCCCGCTCTGTCTTTGGTGAATCCTCTAACTCTTCGCATCTCTGGCCTGTACCCCAGTTCTATATGAATGAATAAATAAATAAATCTTTAAAAAAGGAAATTTATTAAGTGCCTCCTGTGTATCTAATTCTATGCTAGGTGTTATGAGATTACATAGAATGAATAATTTCTAATCTAGTTGAGAAGATAAAGCATATATTTAATAGACTTATTGAACCTCAAACCATGAGGATTCACACCTGATCGTTGATCTATCAGTGCCCAACACCTTCCATTTCTAATTGTTTACTGGATATTGTCATTTGGGCCTCTTCTAGGAAGTCAAACCATTATTCCCTTCCTCCATATTCTCATACCCTACATTTCCTATTGTGTTGTTCACCTCAGAATCCACCTGAGATTTGCCCTTTAAGCATCACTGAAATGTCCAACCTCCCCATCCTTTTTCTGCCACTGAGTTTATGCCTTTGTCAACTGTCGCTTGCAGGACACCCCCAGGCTTCCCAGAACTATGTAAGGCACCAATCCTTCACTCCAGTCTTGTCCCCTTAACTTCACCCCAGGAATCTGGCATTCTAGTTGACTTTTCCCAGCATCTCAGATTACCCTCGGATCTGAGTATCCCTTCTTAATTTTCTTCCTATTGTCTTCACCTTGGCTTATAGCCTGTTCTCCACTCTCAGAACATGCTAGCCTGTGGCAAGGCATTAGGAATGTGAGCGCTTATCTAGTATGACTCTTAACCCACTGAGGGGCGTAGAAACTGGGTTTCTTAATCATTTTGGCAAGAATATATTGATATTCTTCTATGTGTTGAGCATTGTTCCTAGTACTGGGGATACAGTATAAATGAGAAAGGCTATAAGTAATATTTTTAATGTATATATAATTTCAAAAGTCACAAGTCCTCTAAAGAAAATAAAGCCAGCTAAGAGTTTAGAGGGGCCCTCCCTGGTGGCATAGCAGGTTAAAACACAGCACTGTGAAGCTAGCCACCGCTGCAGCACCAGTTCCATCTCTGGCCAGAGAGGTGACCCCCATGGCACAGCACACCTCCTGGCCCACCCGCTGCTCCACTCAGCAATGTATTTTATGATCTGCCCGTTCTGCTCCCCACTCTGTCTCTGGTGAAGCCTCTCACTGCCCCTGCACCTCTGGACTATACCCCAGTTCTGTATGCATAAATAAATAATTTTTTTTTTAAAATAAAAGTTTAGAGAAGGTTGAGGTAGGGGTTTTATTTTATCTGGGATGGTGAGGGAAGGCCTCTCTAAGGTGATACATATAATAAGACCAGAAGGATGGAAAGAGCTGGAGGTTGATGACTCTGGTCAAAGAGAGTCTGGGAATGTGCAAAGACTCTGGAAAGGAAGGCAGCTTGGCATGTTCTAGAAAAAACAAGAAGACCAGTAGGGAATGATGAGTGGAGATATAGGCAGAATTCCAATATTGTAGGCTATGGAATAATTCTCATAGATGGTTGAAACCACTCCACTTCTAGGTTTTGTGAGTGAATACCAAATTTTTGACAGCTAGAGATGGAAAAAGACGGTGGCCTTGTGTGTAGTGGTGATTTCGGTACGAGTTTGTGCATATAAGTGCCAGGTTATTTTGGATAGTAGGTAGGTAAACTGGATGCAGAAGATAGCTGAACTCTAAAGTGTTTAAAATTAGAGAAAGCTAATTAGAGAAAGCTAATTAGCTGGGTGATTGGAAATCCACCATACTCAAAAAGAGCTGTTCTGGCCCTCCCTGGTGGCGCAGCGGGTTAAAGCACAGCACTGAGAATCTAAAGCCGCTTCCGCATGAGTTCGATTCCCGCCTGCCCCGGAGGTGACCACATGGCGTGGCAGACCTCTCCTGACCCACCCGCTGCTCCCCTCAGCAGTGTACTTCGTTGATCTGCCTGTTCTGTTCCCCACTCTGTCTCTGGTGAAGCCTCTCACTGCCCCTGAGCCTCTGGCCTGTACCCCAGTTCTGTATGCACAAATAAATAAATCTTAAAAAAAAAAAAAAAAGAGCTGTTCTTAGAACCCCAAAGTCTGGATTGTATTACCTCGGCTTAGTCACTTACAAGCAAAAAAAAAGTCGCTAAGTACTTTCTTTTTATCATCCATTTATATTTACCTATTATAAAAATATTTCTCTATATATGTATTTCTTAAAGGCAGGCTATTGGGTTTTGTTTTTAATCTAATCTGACAGTTTAGACCATTCATGTTTAACATTATTATGTGTTTGGATTAAACTCTGCCATTTTGCTACAGTTTTAATTTGTTCCATCTAAATTGGTTTCTTATGTTTTCTTAGTCATTTCATTTTATTCTTACAGTTGACTTATTAAATTATTAAATTATTAAAAAATTAGTCATTGCCCTTGGGTTAACAATATGCGCCTTTAATAAGAGCTACCTTCAAATAACTTTGCATCACTTTGCATCTAGATAAACCTTATAGTACCCAGTTCTTCCATCTTATTCTTTGTAACATTATTTTCATACATTTTATTATACACATACTGTGAACAAAATGCTGTCCTATTTTTCTTTATACAGTTCTCTTCTAAAGCAATTAGATTTTTTAATTAAAAACTGGATTTATCTTCATTTGTTCCATTTCCTAGACTATATTTTTTCACTGTGTATTGTGGGGTAGACCCGAGTTTTTGTCTGGCACCCACATATGCAGCAGTGTTGATCAAGGCAATACATTTTCTTAGTTTTTTTTTTTTTTAAAGATTTATTTATTTGTGCATACAGAAATGGGGTACAGGCCAGAGGCTCATGGGCGGTGAGAGGCTTCACCAGAGACGGAGAGGGGAACAGAACAGGCAGATCGAGGAAGTACACTGCTGAGGGGAGCAGCGGGTGGGTCAGGAGAGGTCTGCCACGCCATGTGGTCACCTCCGGGGCAGGCGGGAATCGAACTCATGCGGAAGTGGCTTCAGATTCTCAGTGCTGTGCTTTAACCCGCTGCGCCACCAGGGAGGGCCCACATTTTCTTAGTTTTTAAGAAATACTAACTTAGTGAAGATGTAACTCCATCATCTTCTTCTGGCTTATATGGTCTGCTGTAGGAAATCTTCCAGGACTGTGATCTTTGCCCCTGGATCTCTAATGAGTCTGTTTTTCCTTTGGCTGTCTACAGGTTTTTATATTTTGCCTTTCATTTCCAGATGCTAGAACACAATACTTGTAGGTGTGGGGTTTTGTTCTTTTTATCTTTGTCCTTCTTAGTATTCTCTGAAATTCTTGGATGGATAGTTTGATATTTGTCATTAATTTTGGAAATTTCTTAGTCATAATGAGTCTTCAAATATTTCTTCCACCTATACTCTGTCTTCTCCTTTGGGATTCTAATCATACATGAACAGAAAGCATGCTCTCTCCTCTTGGATGTTCTACATTGTTGTTGTTTACTTACATTTTTCTGTTTCCATTTAGGTCATGTCTGCTGACCTATCTTTGATGTCATTGCCTCTCTCTTTGGCTCTGGCAGAGCAACTGAAGGTCCTGTCAGAGTCATTCTTCAACTCTGTTTTATTGTGTTTCCTTTTAGCATTCCAATTCAATTCCTTCTTATGGTTTGCACTTTCAGGGTTAATTTTTATCTTTTTTCTCTCCTGGAAATAACCTTATTAGGCAAAAACAAGATTTTATTAATTTCACTGATGCCTCTTTTGTGTATTTTAGGAAGACGACCCAGATATTACCAAGAACTCTTCCAAAAGAGAAGAATATAAGGACTGCACTCAAACTATTGGCCTGAACACAGTGAGAAGAGAATTATAGACTGGTAGTGCTGAGGGATGCAGTCTTATTGACTTGCTCAGGGTAAGTGGTTATCTAAATTTATCCTTCTTCCTTATTTTCTTTGCAAGCTCATCAGAGTAACTATCATTTTACTCTTGACCAATGAACCAATGAAAGCCCCTTCATCCTAAACAAAATTAATGTGGGTTGTTTTCATATAGCTTATGTTCCTGGTCCTGTTTTATGGCATTTTATTAGCGTTTGGCTTACACTGTCTCAGAGGACCCACTTTCTGTCAGTTGCAAAAACAGGAGACTTCCTGAATCTTCCATCTAATATCTTTTTTCTCTGTCTGGTCACAAGTCATAAATGTGTTTACTCATTTAATCTTTATTTGAACATTCTGTAAGTCTCCTGTCTCACAGCCACTATATTACATTTATTTATTGCAATGATGAACAAGATGCCCTGTACTCCAGGAGCTGTGGAGACTTGTCCCTAATACTGTCAGAGTGTGTCTGTACTATCAAGGAGGGGAAATCACTCCTGGACACAGAAACCAGGAAGAATTTGGGCTAGGGGAGTTGAGTCAGTGCTTTGTAGAAGAAACAGCATTTTTAGTGGGTTTTAAAAATAATCAGGATCTTTACAGTCAGGGAGGTGGACAGTCATACCAAGATAAGCAAACAGCTCACAGATACGTATTTTTATTTAGCAAACAGTTTATTCTCTGTTCCTTTAAAGAGCTATGTCGTTTTCCTCCCCTCACTTCTGTTGTGAGACGTTTTCCAGTTGTCCCTTTCCTCTTTTATTTTTACCTCCTTTGTTTTCCTGCAGTTCTGAGGGGTAGGACTCTTAAGGCACAAGAGTCTGCCACCCAGAGATGCCAGATACCCCCTAAGTGAACACAAACATGTAGGGTGGGAGTACTGCCCCAGTCAAGCTGGGTTTGAGAGTCACTTAGGGACTCTCCTTGCAGAACGCGGGCGCTGCCCACAGGGAGATGTGACTCGATACTAGAATAAGGTGGAATAAAAAAAACCTGCTGGAGCGTAATCAGACACTGGGTGGTGGCCATCAGTCCAGCCCATACTTGGTATTTATTTGCTTCAGCTATGTCTTTATCAAATTCTCTTTCCTACCAAACAAGGAGGTCCTGTTCGAAGACCCAAAAGCACTCTATTCTAGTTTCTTTTATTTATCCAAGCATTTTTCTTTACTCTGTCACTCATTTTCTTCTTGGTTTATTTTCAACAATTAGTAGTTTGTTTTAAAAGGGATACTTATTGACACACACATACCCCCCCAACACCCCCACCCCCAAAGATTACCTTCCAGGACTTATAGGTAGCCATGAAGATCTCGGACTCGGTCCTGTTTTGCATTATACCTTCGGCTGAAAGATAGATAAAGAAAACAGAAAGTTTGGAAAGAAGACTGTTGATAGCATTTAGGAAGGAGGAAAACAGGACATCTGGAGTAAAACTGTTGGGCAGAGGTGAAAAACCCTTGATGGTTTATAACACTGGGAAGTCCAGTAACCAACACATTACTTGTTTTGACCTGCCTATTTATGATCTGGTTCTTTTTTTCCCCCTGACCAAGATAAGTTCTAAGTTAACAAAATAGAAGATAAGGTCTAAGTCAAGAAAGGATTAAGATAGCCCTAAAATGACACTCATGAATGATAAATGGCCCTCCCTCGTGTGCATCTGGTTTGGACACAACACTGCAAGCTGGTCGCAGCTGCCTCAGTGCAAGTTCGATCCCCGCCCCAGTAGGTGATCCACATGGCGCAGCAGACCTCTCCTGACCTGCCTACTGCTCCCCTCGGCAGTACACTTTGTCCATCTTCCTGCTCTGCTTCCCCCTCTGTCTCTGGTGAAGCCTCTCACCACCCCTCACCTCTGGCTTGCACCCCAGTTCTGTATGAATAAATAAATAAATCTTAAAAAAAAAAAAAGAGGCCCTCCCTGGTGGCGCAGCGGGTTAAAGCACAGCACTGGGA